AATCATTACTGTATTATTTTTAATATGAACTGTCAACTCCTGAAGTAATAAGGTAGTTCAGAAAGCACTTGACTGCATTACTATGTGAGTAGGATCTGGCCAATAAGGGCTGTGAATGTTAGTTTGGCTAATGACTGGTTGTATTTTGAAGTATAAACATAGTATAAATACATGTTATCAAGTATTGATTAGATGTTTATGCACTCACATCTGCTATAGGTAAATGAGATAATGCCTACAAAATACTCAAAGGTCTCTAATACAAACTACATATCCATCTCTGGATATCCTAATGCCATCCTAAGAAATCTTGGACTCACCAAATTCACACTCAGTGGGGCCAGGTTGACCTGGCATGTTTTTATAGTAGAGTTGTTCTCTGCTCAGGAGAGCTTCGGTGGTCCCCTCATCCATGTCTTTGAAAAGGACTACAATGAGCCATCTTGGGGAGATACCGTTCAGCCCTGTTTGAGGCAACATAATACAATGGAAGAGTCACAATGTTTGTAGACGCCATGCCGTTAGGAAATGAGTCCAGCTCTGGATCAGACAGTGCTCCTGGCCAAAGACTTCCTTGTCTACACAATTTGATGTCTAGAGTCATGACAGTGAACACCAGCTATATTTATTCCTTGAGTAGGCAATCCCAGGCAGCATGAAAAAAAGCATAAAGGGAGGTATTAGTCAATTTCCATGGCTCTATCAAAGTCCATAAAGATAGGTACTTCATAAAGAGGTTTGTGTAACTCACAGTTTTTGATGCTAAAAACTCCAACATTGGGCAGCTACATCATTTTGACTGATACAGGCCTAATGGCAGATAGCATCATGACAGAAGCACATATAAGAGGGAAATCAGGTGAGAGAGGAAATCAGAGGGCAGGGAAAAGCCAGTTTGGCTCTCTTATAACCACCCACTCTTGTGGGAGCTAACTGGGGCCCATGAGAACTATGTTAATCCCTTCCTAGGGTAGGGTCTCCAATGAGACAGAATGGAAGGAGACCTGTGACTGTGGGGCGGAAGTCTCCTGAATAGTAAGTAGGAGACTTGGAAGGGGATTGGCCAGGCAGGCTCAGTGCAGTTTGTCCACAATTGCTGCCAGCCACATATGTCTAGATCATCTTAGAGGAAGAGGAGAGGCTTTTCAAGAAGAGTGGGATAATCACCTGCTGTGTCATCTACCAGGATACCAAAAATAAAGTAAAATGATTTTCCAGAGAACCCATGGCCAATTGAAGCAGACAGGCTTTAATGCATCAAAAGCTAGATAAGTAAGAACAGACTGTGGCTAACAGTGTGTGAGAAACATGACAGGCTCCTTCTTGTAACCAACCCCCCACTTTGTTTCCCTAAAGGATTGGCTAGTGCACTAGAGTACTGTGGCATGTGCTAACTGCCTCCTGTGGGGTGCTGAAGAAATGGCAGTGACTCCAATAGTAGGAGCATTCTGTGGGTTCCCACCATTTTGAGCGCACTAAGCCTCAGAGGAATCATGTTGCTAGGTAGGTTTGTGAAGCATGGAGGGTCCTTAGACCTTCCTGCCCACTATTTTCCACATAGTAGGGCTAAGTGAATACTAGCCCCTGGCATCTCAAGGTTTTCTGTAGGACACTTGGAAATGAAATGCTTCTCTAGGCTGAGGACAGCGCTGGGGAGCTATTTCAGAACAGATGTCAACAGAGCCCATTTCTCTGTGCTGAGAATCATCAAACACGGGCCCCACAGCTACCAGACACAGTGACCAAGGCACAGGGACAATGCCTGGCCTCTCAGGGGACTCTCCCAGCTGCAAGCAAATGTGCTGTGATGGATGAGTGGCCTTGCTCATTCTTCAGAAGTGTGGAGGTGGGAGATTGGGTCAGTGTGGACTTTAATTAAGGATGGCAGCTGGCATAGCAGGTCAGGTGGCTCTGTGTTCCATTCATGTCACAAGCTGCCAGCTGCATTTTGTTTTTCTCCAGAAACTACTGTTGCCCTGCTCACTCCTCGCCACTGTGAGCAGATTGTTCTGTGTGCTGTTAAGGTGGCTTGGCCATATTCCTATGTATAATGAATCCATACAGGAATCACACCTTAGAGGTACAGCAAGAAAACTATAAGAAAACCAGTGGTTCATATGGCTCTACTGCTTGAGAAGTTTACTCCCCATGCACACAATTCTGCTGTTAAGTGTACTCATTCATGCCAGTGGCTCACACATATAATCCTAGCTACTTGGGAGACTTGAGATCAGGGGACTGTGGTTCCAGGCCAATGTGGAGAAGGGGGCAGTTTGAGAGACCCCTTCTTAGTGGAAAAAATTTTAAAAAGCTGGGCCAGGTGGTGCACACCTAGCATCCCTGCAACAGCAGAAAGCATTCCAGGATGACCTGGACAAAAAGCAGAATAACAAAACAAAGAGGGCTGGAGGTGTGGCTCAAGTGGTAGAGTGCCTCCCTAGCAAGTGCAAAGACCTGAGTTCAAACCTCCAGTACCAACAACAACAACAACAAAAAATAAAAACCCAAATTCATGCAAGTAATGAAATGAGAACTTCCTTGGAACTCTTAATCCCTGGAGGAAAAGGACAGATAGGATTATAGCATGTCAAATGTCTGTGTTATCAGTGTCCTCCATCCAAATAGATGTTGGCTGAGACAAGGACAGCTCCTGTCCTTCTCCAAGCAAACCTGACACAGGGAGGATAGAAAGGTGATTAGACCCATCTCATAGAGGAACAGGGTCCCTAATACTTGGAGCTGTGAGGACTTCTGTCTTAAAGGAAATTAGCTGAATAGGTTGTGACTGAATATGGAGAACCTTCAAATGATTAGCTCAAAAATACCCTTTAATGTGCCAACCTTCACTGCAGGTATTTGTGAATGGCAAATCTCCAGATCACATGCTCTGATGAAGCAACAGAGGAAGAAACCCTGAGTTTTCTGCTGCCTTTTCTGGGGACATGAAATCCAGATAGGCTAAGAGCAATAGAAAACCTCAGTAAAACCTCCAGAGATGGTGTCATGTACTGGGAGAGTAAATTGGGCAGTGCATGATGATGGCTTCATTGTGTAATCATGTAATTGTTAACTTGTAAGGATGGTGTGCATGCTCTCAAAACCCTGCCTGGAGGCGAGGCTCTTCCCTGGGTCACCAGCTGCCTACCCTAATCAGGTTCCATACAAATAAATGCATTACCTGCTGCACTGATAGATTTTAAAAGTAAATCAAGAGAAACCAAAAAGCTATAGTCCCCTTGTGTTGGAACTCTTCCTTGGTTAAACTGTTTTAATAAAGAGAATTAGGGGAAATCCTATAATGCCAGAATTCTCAGAAGACTAGGTTGTTACGATTGCTGACCAAAGAGACCTTGCACAGAAAAGTATTTAAACAGAAAAGTTCTCAGGTCCTTAGTAGAAAATGGAAATGTAAATCACCCATAGCTAGTAGCATTTGGGATAGGATTGCCCATTTCTGGATTAATAATTTAATAGAGAGGTCTTAAAACTTTAATAAAGTAAAATTGTAGGCAGGTCCAAAAGGTGTTTTTGAAGACATTGGAGTGGGGAGGGAATGACAGACATCTGGAAATTAAAAGGAACTTAAAGATGGCCAATTCCATTCTTTATTTTTAAAATGAAAATTCTAGTCAGGTTTCCTGAGCCTTACTTGCAGGCTAGCACTGGCTTTAAATCCGAGTTCCATGGAAACAGCTTTACCTGTCTCAAAGTGTCAGGGTAGCTGGCAGTGAGTTCTGGTCCACAGTTCTCCTCTCTGTTGTTCTCATAGTGTCTGGTACCAAAGGACTGGTACCAAGGCTAATCACAAATTTTATTCCCAAGGAAGATGGTATAGCATGAAACTGGATTGTAGGCTCTGAGGAACAAGGATTTTCTATTTCTTTGTGCCTTTCTCAATATCAAGCACTGCTTTTTACATAAATATAATACTTAAGCATTTGCTAATCTAAAATGTTCTTACTGTAGAAAAACTTTGCTGATTTCATTAGTAGGAACAGTGTAGGGTTAGGTACATGAACTTTGGAGACAAGTTGCCTGGATGTGAAAATGAGTCAGCCAAATAAGGTATTTGTGTAGGTAACCTAAATTCTCTGTGCATTTGTTTCCTTGGATAAAAGCTGGAACATTAAGAGTCCCTGTCTTCTTGTGAGGTTGTAAGGGCTAAATGAGTTAACACATGCAAAGTGTTTAGAACGATACCTGGCACAAAAAGTGCTCATGTGTTGAATGGTACCCATTACTGGTCATTACTGCTGCACTAATAGACTTTAAAAATAAAGCAAGAGAAACACAAAAGCTGTGGTCCCTCACATTGCAATTCTTCCTTGGTTAAACTGTTTTCATGAAGAGAATTGGGGGAAATCCTATGATGCGTAATATTAGCCAGTATTCAGAGATGTCTTCAGCCATAGTTGAGAAATGTTCTAAACAGGCACCAGTGTGATGATGTTACTCTATGGCTTCTAACTAATTCTAGTACATTGAAATGATTATTATAGGGGTCACCTCTTTGTTCAGAGCTGTACATGGCTTTTAAACCCCTCTACTGCCTCTTTTGACACTAAAATATCCAGGTTTTCTTAACAAATATGGGATTCTCTGTTTTGGTCACTGTGAGTTGTATTTTGGCCTGTCCCTGGCCCTCTTACAAGTTATTGTGACTGAGACCCCAGTAGCATACAGATGAGCCTTCTTTCCCTGCCCCTTCCCCAGCCAGGCTCTGTGTGTCCTTCTCCCCTGTGTGCCACGAGCTTTCACTCAAGTTGATCCTGACTTCCTGGCCACTGTTCCCTTGAGCCTTGAGGTTTTTCTTGTTCTTATCCTTCAGAACCCAGCCTAAATCCTGTCTTACCATGAACAAGGGGAAGTCACCTTTTTACATTCTGATTCATCCATCCAGCTGACATTTTGGCTTACAGGCTCTTTTCCTTTGAGACGTAACTACTGAGTGTTCCCTGACAGCTATGACAGGTATCCTCATTCTGGTTTTGTTTCCACAGCACATCCCTCCAGACCTCTGCATCTGCAATTTTGTGCTGGAACAGTCCCTCTCAGTCAGAGCCCTACAAGAAATGCTAGCCAACACAGGTGAAAGTGGTGGTGAAGGGGTGAGTACCTGAATAACATTTTGGTTGGGGATTGGGATACCACATCCCCAAAGCACATTCTACATTTCAGCCCTCTAGTTTTGGAAGTGGTCTCGACATGATCCATGTGGAGAGAGTAAATCTGTCTTCCTGAGTTTAGGTTGCTAAATTACATTCAGCAGCACTAATCCTGATTCCTTTAGAGTAACCAGCTTCTACTGAGATAGAAAAGCTCACCAATAATGCTGCCTGAGAAGGCTCTGATCCTTGTGCTCTCTCTTATCCCCAACTCCACCAAGGAACATGGAAAGGCTAAAGTTCCTTGAGACTGGATGCCTATGAGATAGACTCTCTTACCATGGGAAAATCCTCACTGGGGATTTGTGCTTATAACCATGGAACAAACCAGGTTGCAACAGGTGGGAGACATTTCCTGTAGACTTCAGAGTCTTTGACATGTGTCCAGAACTCAATGGTGTCACTAATGGGCAAACACAGAGCTGTCTTAAGTTTCCATGGTGAGATAAGGGGTTAACTCAGATGAGCTCCAGATCCCCCTTTCAGAAGTCCCCCAGGAAGGACATCAATCAGAATTTTCAGAGTAACCTTTGATTGTCCCATTCCCTAAAGACCCACTTTCATGCCTGACCATTTATCATAAAGTACTTTAATTCTCTGCCTGAGACTCTCAAACTCAGCTTCTTATCTTCACTACCAACACCCTCTGATGACCTCTCTTCTGGGAAGTGCTATAGCCATGGACCACTTTGATCCCTCTGTGCTTGCCCTCCTCCCAGTGTTCCCCTCAGTAGTCACAGTGTTCTTTTGAAAATGCAGGTCCAGCTATTACACTTCCTTGTTTTATTTTTCATCATCATTTTTTTGGCAGTCCTGGGAGTTGAACTCAGGGCCTTAGGCTCAGTGGCAGACTGTCTACCACTTGACTATGCCCCTAGTCCTTTGTGCTTTAGTTATTTTTTAAGTAGGGTCTTGTATTTATGCCTAGCCAGCCTGAACTGCAATCCTCCTATTTATACTTCCTACATAGCCAGGATGACATGTGTGTTCCACCACACTCAGCTTTTGTTTATCGGGATGAGATCTTGCAAACTTTTTGCCTGGGGTGCTTCAAGCCACAGCCCCTTCTAATCTTTGCCTCCACAGTAGCCAGGATTAGAGGCTTGAGTCACTGTGCCTGGCTACATATCCCTGTTTTAAAATTGTTTGTGTCTCCATTACTTTGTGGTGAGTTCCAAAGTCCTCAATAAAAATAAAACCCTTCAGGGTGTGCCAAGCACTGTTCACCTCTCTGCCCTGTCCCTCACCACGTCCCAGTCAGCCCCCAGTGTCCCAGCCACACTGAGTTCCTCTCACCACCTCAAATGCACCAGTTCTTTTTTACCTCTGGTCCTGCCTACCTCCTATTTCTTCCATGTGAAACAGCATTCCTCCTCTCTGTCCCCTTGTGTAATCCCTCCATATCCATCAAGGAGCCAGATTAGATATGAGGCCAGCTGCAAAGGGAGCCTCCACTGCATCTGGAAGGTGTGATGTATAGAGGACACTGAGTACCTTTTCTGTCCCAGTGCCTGTGGATAGGAACTGATGGCCATACCAGTTGCACAGGTTGTTCTTACTTAGCTTGAATGAAGTCCAACATAATATACAAATGTCTCATCTGTGCTGGAGAAACAATGACAATGTTTGCATTTTGGCCATTCTCCAACCCTTAATGTCACTTGGGCATGTCTGAGGTCAGAGTGTTCTCACCTATAAAATTAGAATGTTTACTTAGATGTCCAAAGGTTTATGGTTCTTCACTCTTTTGATTTATAACAATAGAGTTTAGTCAGCTGCCTGAGAACAGCTTTGCTCTGTTCTGTAGTGCATTAACACAGGTGAGATTTTTGTTCATTTAATATTTATCTCCCTCTGGGTTCCCTTCCCCCTTCCTTTCATTGACCTTAGCACTTCATGTTTTCCACGTAGCCTTAAACATTTCCAGTTTAGTGAAACAAATTTCAATTGCTTTCCCTTTTCCCAAGACCAACCATATACAGAAATCTTTGAGAGGCCTGATTGATCTTGAATAGCACCACTTGCAGTTTCAAATAAAATCTGCTAGACCCTGCCTTCTTATGGCCCCCACTTAGGTGTTAGGAAGTAAAAGTGATGCTAGGTTAACTGGATGTGACTTGCCCCGTTGAATATTTCAGAGGACCCTTTATCATTTAGCACTAGTGGTTCAGAGAGTCCTAGAGGTGAGAAGATAAATTCCTTTGGGGAAGATCAACTTTAGTAATACTGAATGCTTGATTTTAGAATCTATATATAAGACGTACCTTAATCAGTAGCACATTTTAGCAGAGGTTTATTCAATAGTTATATTTTTCAAAAGACATCTCTTCTTTACAACACTCACATGCTAATGCATCAAATATCATTTGGGAATCTACTCCTTGTGAAAACCCATGTCCAAAATAAATGACCCATGATGATTTTATTCATCAGCCATTGGATAATAAACACTATGTTAGGTCAAACTCTGGAATTCCCCATGAGTTATATTGTCTTTTTGTCCCATTTTACCAAAGAAAAGAGAGATCCAATAGCTACTTCCCATCATGACACATTTATTATTATGATTATACATAGGAGATCTTATAGATAGAAGGAAGGGACTTGAGAAGAGAGATGGAGCCCAGATAAGAAAGGTACTCTCAAAAGTGTTGTTATTTTACTCTCTACTGGTAGTTCCACAAATAGTTACCTGGACAGCAGCTTCAGGCATGAGAGCCCTTTGGAATCTTCTCACAATTCCATCTGGGCTTTCAGTCTCAGTGCGAGAAATGCTGTGTTTATACAATTTCTGAATGTGATTTGCTTTTCTGAAGTGACTATTGTACATATTTGCTATTGACTTTAGAAGATAGTATCTAGCAGGAAAGAAAAAGGGAAAAAGGAGGAAAAACAAAGAAGGAAGTGAGAGCATAATGATTCTCAGGAGAGCCTGAGGATGTGTGAACAAGATGCAGCCTTCCTTACTTGCCTTTCCACTCTGATTGGAAATCACTATTTGCTGCTTTTAAATAAGTATTACTTTCCCTAATGATCATGACTGCCACCAAGCAAGATGCTTTGAAGTGTGTAATCTTTTCCCTTCTAGTCATAAATTATTCCTCGTGTACTGTATCTGTTCACTGCTGTGTAGCAACTGCACGTTTTCTAAAAATGGCATCAATTGTTTGTTCCTTTGCATGATGAGTGTACAGAATTCTTTTTGTGAGGATTTACAATTCTGCAGCAATTTCTCTTGCTAACAAAGAAAACAAAGGTACCCAGCCAAATTTAACAGCAGAGAGGGTGATTTTTATTATTGAAATGTTCTTAGCTGCAGCCAGTGGTTCATGGGAGCCAGATTTCCACTGAAAAGAAGAAGTAGTGATGTGGAGGACCTGGGAGCTGAGAGGGCTTGTTGACACTCAGATCTCACCCAGTTCTGGTCAACCGATTACTTCCAATCTAATCCTAACTAATTTTATTCTGGGGGAAATTACTAAGAGATAGATGCTGGCACTATGGCCAATTTTATGACTAGTGTTGGAAGTAAAATCCTCACATAAAAAATCAAAGATTTTCATAATTTTGGTTGACTGGGTCTATAGTATATGGAATGCTCCTGAGTCTTCAGCATGATATGGGGCCAAAAGAGATGTCGCCATTGGGACTGGACGTGCTGCTCAAGGGATTAGAGCACTAGCCTAGCAAGTGAAAAGTCCTGAGTTGAGAGAAAGAGGTGTCACCATTTCCCTCTAAGCCCTCAATCTCCATCATCCAATAGAAATCACTAATTTAGAGTGAGCAGCATTTGTAGTGAGCAAAGCTCTCTTCGGAGTCAGACAGATTTTGTTTTTTGTCCAGACTATCCCAGACCAGATGACCTCTGGCACAAATTATTTTTTTCTGTACCTTACTTCCCACATCTTCAAAATGCAACCCACCTCATAGGACAGGATGAGAATCACATGATATCAGTGCCCACAACTGCCTGTGGATGTGGAAATCAGTACAGGTTCCTGTCATCATCTCTGGTCCACTTCCTCATATCACAGATCATCAGGAATATTCACACCTCCTCTCAGGAAGGAGGTCCCTGGCTGGCTACATGGCACATTGAATTTAGAGCTGTATGACTCCAAGTAGGTTCCTACATGAACTAACATGGTGCTTGTGGAAATGAAAGGTCTTGATTAACACAATTACCAAATGCACTCCTTCTAATAAGGGTTCATCAATGAAGTTGACTTCATCAACATCAGACCTTCAAAAACTGAAGTGATATGTGCATATATATATATATATATATATATATATATATATATATATATATAAAATGAGCTAAGGCTGTGGTTTCAATGTGAATGTTAAATTTTAACCATATCCAGAGACATAAAATTGTGCTTGACTTTATATGCCAAAACATCTGGTATGCTATTACAGTCAGGTCTCCAACCTTGATTGCTAAATGTGACCTGGGAAATACTTTCTGCAAGAACCTTTATCAAGGTAAAGAGAGGTTCTTCTTTATTTCCCTGTATCACTTGTGTAATAGTCTTAAATCTAAAATGACCTTCGGCCTCTTATCATCTGCCCTTTTCCTCAGATTGGGAAATACTGCACACAGCAGTTCTTTGAGAGATGCTTGTATATGACATGGCACATTTGTTTTGTTACATCTTCCTAAGGATGAGGCGCCCTAGCCCCATGAAGAAGCTGGGGGTTGTCTCTGGTATCATATGAGCTTGTAATGGCCAACAAAGCATAAACCCATGTTATGCACCTCCCTGTAAAGGCCTTTAATGTACATGCAGTGCGATGCTTATCAGGCTTATCAGTAGCTTCTTACCTTGCAGCCATGTTCAAGCCATTTATCTATCCTGCAGAGGTACAGGAAATGGAATGACAATGTCATTAAAAACAAGAATCTGCTTAAGATGCATCTCCCTGATGATACTAGGTAA